TTACAGGCCCTAGGCTTGGGTGGCTGTCCCTTGCCTATCAGCCAGCAGGGCCAGGACAGTGGCTCAGGGTGACTTTTCTTGGGACCCAGCACATAGTTTGTCAGTCCACACTGGCAGATGTGATTTTGTTAACCAACTTACTTTCCAAAAAATAAAAGTGAGAACTGGTTCTGATCTTCAGAGTGCTCTCTTGTGTCCTGGGACCTGTGCAACTGTTTCCTTACTGCCGGGGGTGGGGGCTGGGAGGGTGAGGAGACAGGCCAGAGGCGGAGGCATAACGCCATCTAAGGAATCAGCAGTGTCTGCTCCCTAGAGCAAGGTGCTGGTCTCAGGCTCCCAGGGAACTAATTACCTGCTTTTCCCTCCCAAAGTAAGGACAGCTGGGTTGGGGGGGGGGTTGCTTTACTGTGGTGTAAGTAGCAGGCAGAATCTTAGGGTTACCAGCGTCTAGAGGTCCAAAGGACAGGATGCACTAGGAGATGTGTCCACAGGAGGGGATCATGGGTGTGTGGGAGAAGTGCACTTGGCCTCTCTAGCTTCCTGGCTGTCTTGACAGGAGGGATTCCATGAAGACAGAAAGTGCTTAAGTGTATGTGCTAACTTGCAGGAAGGTAGGTGGCCAGACCTCTGGTTTCTGCAATCTACACTGGGCCAAGCATGATGCAGGTGATGTGCATTCCAGGACAACAGAGAACTTGAGTGTTTCCTTCCTTCCTGCATCCATTTCGTCTGTCATACTTCTAACCTTAGGAGACCTGGGTTAGGATCAGGCCCACCTTCTAGGTCAGGAGACTTGCTTAGCCATGCTAACAGAAGTTTTGATTCTAGACAGAGCTTGATCTTCAGGGAGGTACTGGGTTTTAGAGGAAGCCGTAGGTCTCGTTCTGTTGTTGGTCCCCAAAATGGAGACCAGACAGTTTCCATTCCAGCCACACACACACCTGATGATAGTGACCAGGTAGGGGGTGGCAGTTAAAGGGCCTGACTGAAGTCTAGACACAGCAGTGTGTGACCAGATGGATACATTCCCATCCCTGAACCAGGCTTGACACTTCCTGGGTCAGCTGTGTGCCAGTCTGTGGCGCCCCCTAGTGCCATGTTGAGCATAGCTTCCTGTGGCATCCAAGAAAAGTTTTAACATCAAGGGGTTGGTCCACGGTGACAGAAAGTGGACCTGAGGGTCGGGGCCATAGGTCGGGCCACTCTTGTCCATAATAGTCCCATTGCCACCTTAGAAGAGGTAAACGTTGGGGCCTTGAGCTGCACCACCAGAGTCTACTATACGGGCTTGCCCAATGGGAAGGGAGTATGAATGGCTCAAGCTGCAAGCATTGGATCTGCATTCAAATCTCCATTCCTTACTGAAGTCAGGCTCTTTCTGCTCTGCTCTCTGACTGCCTTGCCTTTTAGATATGGGTGGTAGTGATGGCGGATGGTTTCCGTTTTGTACTGGCTAGCATCAGGGACACGCTAGCTCTCAGGAGCCTGCTTATCCACTGGCATGTGCTGTGTTCCCCAATGGTCTGAGCACCAGCAGCAACAATTATCCTCTGGGCTGGAAAGATGACTCTGATTTAGTTGAGTACTTGCTGCTCTTGTAGAGGACCTAGCTTTCATTTCTACCACCTACATGATGGTAGCAACTATCCTTAACTCTAGTACTGGGGGATATGACAAACTCTTCTGGTCTCTGTGGGTACATACATACTTGCAACAAAACAGATAAAATTTGAAAAAGGAAGAGAAAGATTTATCTTCCCAAGAAGGCAAGAAACTGATTCTGTGTGTGTCAAATGTCCTGAGAGACTCGGGTACAATCACATCCCTACTCCCCTGGCACATAAGGCTTTTCTAGAGTCACCTGGGGACTTCGATTTCCTGGCTAAATCCATCTTGTCTGAATGTTTACTAGGTCCTCACTACAGCCAGTGGGCATGCTGTGCCCTTTAAATACCTATCCCAACCAGCAAGCAGTTCCTACCCTTGACCTGTAACTTGTACCTCTTGATCCTGGAGACCAATGGAATTTCAATCAGGCATTCTAGAAGACACCAAGAATGGCTACAGGAGACCACCCAAGACGTGCTGGGGTCCTGGGAAGATCAGGAGGTAGATACTATACCTTTACCCTCCTCCCTGCTGGGCTACCCCAGGGAAGCTGCCTCCACCGGGCCCACTGCCCTCTCCATGTCCCTGTGGCTGGATTCTGTCTACGACAGTAGTACACTTAGTGTGGGCACAGGTCCCACTTCTCTGGGACTCCTCAGCCACAGTCCCAGCTCCTGCCCACCCTGTGCAGATCATGACAGGCACAACGTGGGGCTGTGAGATGACAAGTCTGAGGCCATCTGAGGGGGTTTGCAGGCTGGGAGAGCCTGGTAGGTGTCAGGACTACTGAGCTGGACAAATCGTCTTACAGCAGACACAACAGCAGTGGTACTTTATTCGGTTACCTCCTTACATGAAGCTGTCGCTTGCTAGTCTCCCAGGGCCCCGAGTCTGCTTCAATTCTAAGAAGTACTTACTTGCCTGACTCCACAAAACAGGGCTATTCCACAGAATGAGGGGATCCCTCAGGATGAGGGGATACAGGTCTCCTCAGGTCCCACAAAGCATGAGCCTGGAACTAAGTCTTGAGCCCCTAAAGGTGAGCTGGCACTGAGCTGCGGGGAGGATTAAGCCCCGCTAAAATCTGAGCACACCTGATGCCCACAGCACAATTCTTATTAATTTAGGAGGTCTGAGTTTCCCTTCGATCTCTTTACTAGGCAGAATGCTCAGGGCTGTTACATGGGCATGGAAGATGTTTACATGTGACCCCACTGGAGGCTCTGGGATCCCTGGAAGTCAGAAGAGGGTACAGAACTTGTTCCCTTACCATGGCCCCAGGAGGCACAGCCCAAGACCATGAGGATGGCCTTTCAGAACTGCATGGTGCCCTGCACATTGAGGATGTTGATAGTCTAGAAGGAGCCTGTGTGGGCAGGTGGCTGGGAGTGTAGAAGGGAATGCCAGATTTCATTTATCAGGTGTGGGCACCTGGCCCCTGGGCAAGCACTGGGGTACAGAGCAGTTATGAGAGTTGAAATACAGCCAGCTCTCAAATGCTCAGCTCATATACAGTTCTGTCATGGGGCTGCTACTTCTTTTCCTTTTTTTGGGAGGTGGTGGTGGTTCAAGACAGGGTTTCTCTATGGGTGTCCTGGAACTTGCTTCTGACCAAGCTGACCTTGAACTCAGAGATCTGCCTGTCTCTGCCTCTGGAGTGCTGGGATTAAAGGTGTGCGCCACCATCACTGTCCAGTAGACCTGCCATTTCTAAACCTGACCCAGCTGTACTGAAGTCAAGCAATGAAACAGATGTGGGGCCAGTTCCAAAAACCAAGGCAAGCACCCACTGCTAGGCCCTGCAACAACACAGGGTGAGCCCACTTTCCAGGGTGATGATGTGACCTGTGAGGGCAGAGTCCACAGTAGGACAGCAGGGAAATACCCGAGTCAGCAACAGCCAGCACAGCCACTGACAGTGCCCAGTAACAATGAAGGATGAAGACAATAGGTAGACAAAGGACAGGTCCCAGAATGCTGCTCAAAAGAGAAACGATTCATTATGGGAACACATTTGGCAACCACAATCTTGTCCTCAGAAGTACACACTAACAGCCTGGTGGCTGCTAGGGTACACAAGGACGCACAGATGTGACCACATAGTCACTAGGCCCCTTCCACTGTTACGCTGCACAGGCTTATGTGTGAGAATTATTTTATTCTTGCTTAGCATCATATGCTTCCTTTAAGAAAAGTTTCAAGAAACCGAGAAAGTTCCATTCTAGTTGCCGCTTCTCTGCACATCTTCTAGATCCTGTCTGGAGTCCCAGGAATTTTTTTCCTGGACAGGATAGCCCAAGCTGAACTCAGGATCTTGCTTTCTGTGTTCCTAGGATGGGGTTACAGTGGGAGGGTGGTGGTGAGGCCACAGGATACTCAGCCCTGGCCTGCCCAAGCAGCCATCTCCAAGTAAGAAAGGGTGCTGGCCACTCAGCAAGAGCTCTGGACGCTGAGCTAGTGCATCTCCACTCAGAGGGGTGCCAGCGAGCCGTTAGCAGGCACGGAACACCACGCCGAAAGCTCCGTGTCACCACAGACTACTTCCTCACTGCTGGAGGCAGGAGCACATTCAAGAGCATCTGTGACGAGACAGCCTTGTGAAGCCCCATCTTGACCACTGTCCTGGGCAGGACTTAACTTTTATGTTAAAAGCCACACAAAGCCTCAGGTATGTTCAGGTTTCAGGTATCAGCCCTGTCCCCCAGGGCTACTCAGCAATGTGGACTGCCCAATTTCATTTCAAAGGCTTCTTCAGTGTATGTCCCTGTTAATTACGGAACTACTCATGAGCTAGGCGAATAGTCATGTGTGAAAATTCAGTACTAGTCAGTTATAGAATTAAGGTGGAAATCAAGGGTAAATTGAGAACGCTCCAGTCAACATGCTTCAGAATCCATACAAGAGAGACAATGCTGTCAGGGACTAAGGTTACAACACAACTGTGGAGGAGTGAGCATACAGATCTCCTGGAGGAATCCCAAGTCCTCAGACTGACTTCAGTGTCTTCAGCGCAGAGGAGGCCTGCATTGTGTCTGTCTACCTCCTATTCCAAGGCCTCTGGAGAAATGCAGGCACATTTACTTGGCTCCACACAGGTGCTGGGAGTCCACTTGGTTCTCACTCTCCTCTCAAGGGACAGAGGCTTGGCCAGACCCTGAGCAAGTAAGGACATAAACAGGGAAATATTTTCCTACCCAGCCTAGCCCAAGCTACCTTTGCAGCTAGGGGTCAGTGTGAGGCTATGATCCTAATGGTGGCTGTCCCCTTACCCCATGGGTTAGGGCCATTTAGTACCACACCAAGGCATGAGTCCAGACACAATCACTCAGAGGGCTCTAGGGCTCCAGGCTGACTGAATCTTCATGGAATGATGAAAATTAAAAATTGCTTGATTAAGGAAGTTTCTGATTTATTCCAGATAAAATATTAGATTTGCCACTAAGAATCACCTCATAGCAATCACTCTTGTGTCATCCCCACTGTGGTTGGTGTAGCATGATGAAGGCAGACCCTGTGGGCCAAAAGCCAGGCAGTTCTAATTCTTCACTTCCGCGGCTTCTTTCTCAGCCTTTTCCTTGGCCTTTTCCTTCTCTTCCACCTTTTCCTCCTTCTCTAGTGTGGCCACAATTTCCGCTACTTGGGTGGTAGAGATCTGAACATCTTCTTTGTCCACCAAGTCGATCACCTGCACACACAGGAGAGGGGACTTAGAAGGCTGTATCACTGCATGATCTGGTGTCCCGGGGACAACTCTGGGGAGGCAGGACTTGACTCCTCTGAGCCATCTTCTTGGCTAGGCACTGGTCATTTCACTGCATGCGATGGGTGCCTGGGTATCAGACCCCCAAGGCTACAGACCTCACAGCAAGACTGTGGCATCAAGTCCCTGTTCCAGTCAGCATGGCTCTGCCATAGTGCTGGAGGTCTAGGACCTGCCCTGAATGTGGCTTCCCTGGTACAGCAAGGGGTAGGCACTGGGATATATCTGCTCCTGCCATGAAGACTGAGGGGAGAGCGAGGAAAATGCTCAGCATGTATGTCTGATAGCGCCTTGATTTAAAATGGAACTAATGGTAATTATTATTTCTGGCTAGAAAAACCACTAACTTATCAGGTGTACTGGAAACCATGAAGGCAGTTTTTTCCTTCAAAAAACATGATTTATAATTTAGGTAGGTCCATGGTAATTTGCAGGCTAGAATCCAGACGTCCCCTAGAGGCTGGGTCCTGACTTGGGTATGTGGGCTGATGTACTTGGACCTTAGTCACCATCCTACATGCTCTACCCACTCAGTGTTTCTCAGGTCTCAGGCAGCCCCCAAAGGGGTCCTGACAGGTGTGTTCACCCTGTTTTCCAGAGCTAAGAGGATGTAAGGTCCTGGGGCACATGCAGAAACAGTCCAAGGAGACATCTGATAGGTGGGCCTATGGCAGGGCAGGGACTCAATTTTGTTATCTCACCATTATGTCTATAACTTTTATAACTTCTTAATTCCAGTGTGATTTCAATGGAGAGCAAAGGCCTGAGACACCTGGGCCTGCAGACCCAACCTCCTAATACAGTCTTTTTTTTTTTTTTAAAGTTATTGTATGAATATTGGTGTTTGCCAGTATCTCCCTGGAGCTGGAGATACAGACAGTCATATGGATGCTGGGAATTGAACCCTGCTCCTCTGTAAGAGCAGCCAGTGTCCTTAACCACTGAGCCATCTCTCTAGTTCCCTTCTGAGAGTCTTAAGGCTCTGAAAAACAGTTCCTCCCCAAACCCTTGGGCCCTAAATCAGAAAAGCAGTCAGGCTAGCTGCTGGCTCAGGCCTTACTGAGACCCACCTTAACAAGGTCATCGATGTTGATGTTGCCGTCCTTATTTTCATCCAGGGCTGAAGCCAAACTGATCAGCTTGTGTTCTGGAATGTGCTTGATTTGCTTCATGGCGGTGATGAGCTCACTGACACTGATGACACTCTCCCTGGGGAGTGTAGTCTGCATGTGATATTGGCCAGGTGCTCGGCCTCATGCCTTACCCATAGCTCTTCCCATAGGCTCTGCTCCTGCGGTCATGCATGAACTGGAAATGTCAGCATGACTCTTCCCACATGAGATCCTCAGGCTCTTTCCCTTTAGGATGCAAAGCCAGCATGGAGACTGATAGAAAACATCCTTGGGCCTGGCGGTGGTGGCGCACGCCTTTAATCCCAGCACTTGGAGGCAGAGGCAGGCGGATCTCTGTGAGTCCTAGACCAGCCTGGTCTACAAGAGCTAGTTCCAGGACAGGCTCCAAAACCACAGAGAAACCCTGTCTCGAAAAACCAAAAAAAAAAAAAAGAAAAAAGAAAGAAAACATCCTTGGATGCTGGGAAGATTGTTTAGCAGCTATCAGTGCTCTTACTGCATGAGGACCTGAGTTCAAATCCTCAGAACCCATGTAAAAGCTGGGAGTAGTCACATATTTGTCTAAAGCCCTAGTTCTATTGGGTGGGGGCAGAGGCAAGATCATGGGTTTGCAGGCTGACAGCCTCCATGTGCACATAAGCATGTATACCAGCATACATACACTTGCACAGATAGCACATATACAAATACCACACTCACACAGACCACTTATACACCCACACATAAAACTGAAAAAAAATCTGAGGCTGGAGAGTGATTAGTGATGGCTTAGTGATTAAGAGCACTTGTTGCTCTTGCAGAAGACCTGAGTTCAGTTCCTAGAACCCATGTTGGGTGGCTCATAGTGTCTATAATTCCAGCTCTAGGGGATCTGATACCTTCCTTTGGCTTCCATGGGCACCACCCCACAATGGAGAGCACCACAGGTCCCTAGGCTGTGTCTGCCAGGGAGCCAACAGACAATACAAGAGAGAAAACATCCTCATCCGGAGGTAACAAGGCTCGCTAGGTACAGGGCCTGGAGCAGAAGCAGAGTCCAGCTGCAAGCACCTGCCCTCCCTGAAAAGTCTATGGTCAGGACTGTGGCAAGCCTACTCATAGCTGGGTTACAAAAGCATGGAGTGTGCCACTGTCTCCTGGTGGCTGCTTAAGCAAGCAGACTGTCCACAACAGTGTCATAATACCAGGGTTTGGAACAGGGAAGAAGTGGGAGAAAGCCTGGCAGTTTGAAGAACATGGAGTCAACTTAAGCTCAAGGGGATGGCACCATGGAAGGGGAAAAAAGATGGGTCAGGGGACACAAGCAGGGAAGAGACAGATCTGAGCTACCTAAGTAAAACAAGCTCTGGGATATAGAAACTGAGTTGTGAAGGAAAGAAAAATAAGAGCAAAGACTTCTTGGGGTCCTGGCTGCTCCTGAGCAATAGGTGGGGCAGGCAGAGGCCAAAGATATGCTTTGGAATTAGATCCCAGCAAAAGCACTTGGCAGCTGCAGCCAGGCTAGAACAGGTTCATGGCTCACTTACCCTGTTGGAGAACTCTCCTGGGGGCCCAGTTTGCCATTCTGTTGACTGGTCTCTAGCTGTGCGATCAGGCCATCGATCTGCCCGATCATCTGCTGGACTCGCTTTGTCAGCCTCTTGCTAGCTGTGGATTCTTCTATATATTTTTCATCACCGGTCTTTGAAAGTTCCTTTTTGATCTCCTGTAAGTCCTAATTTTAAAAAGTTTGTATCAAAGGAGAGGGAGGGCTTTATATTAATTTGAACTTGAAAAGAAAATCAAATCATTAATTTGTGCTGGGATGTGGCTCAGTGGTACAATGCTTCCTACTATGCACAAGATCCTGTTTGATCTCTAGCACAACAAAACAAAAAACTAAATAAAAGAATTCAATTCAGCCTCAGAAAATTGGATGATCTTATGTCTATCATGCAAATTTGTTCTCACTAATTTTTTGGTTTAGCCTACCGTGCCCACAATTATTTTTGTAAGCTCAAAAAAAATTTTTTTTTAGAGGGAAGAAATCTATTCTGAATATCAAGTTCCTTTGCAGTTACTAGAGAATGAACATCCAAAGGCTCAAGGAGTGCTAAGCACCTTCTTTCTTTACAAGGAGCAAAGATGACAGGGACAGAAGCAGGGTGAAGAGCCAAGGGGAATGAGCACTGTCTTGTCTGTCCGGTGAAAATGTGTCTTCTGATGGAGAAGTCATACAGCCAGGGGGGCTACCACAGGGAAGATGAGAAACAGCAAATTGATTTTTAGCAATCTCCACATCATTACTTGCCCAACAGAGTGGGGATAATAACACTGCTACCTCAGATTAGAAAACAATGTTTGTTTTTTGTTTGCTTGTTTGGTTTTGGTTTTTCAAGAAACAGTTTCTCTGTCAAACAGCCCTGGCTGTCCTGGAACTCACTCTGTAGATCAGGCTGGCCTCGAACTCACAGAGATCCACCTGCCTCTGCCTCCTGAGTGCTAGAATGCAACAGGGATGAGAGGGGATATGGGAAGACTGGGAGGTGACAGAATTGGGGTGCATGATGTAAAACCCCCAAAGATTCAATAAAGAAGTTTAAAAAAGTCAGGCAGTGGTGGTGCCTTTAATCCCAGCACTCAGCAGGCAGAGGCAGATGGATCTCTGTGAGTTCGAGGTCAGCCTGGTCTACAGTTTGTTCAGGACTGGCTTTATAGCTAATGAGAAACCCTGTCTTCAACCCCCCCCCCCATACACACAAAAAACTTAGTGTCTGTTTGGGCTGAGGATGTAGTTAGACACAACATGTGTCTAGCATGCACAAGGCCCTGGGATCGATCCCAGCACTATGAGAGAAAGAAAAGGAGGGAGGAAGGGAGGGACAACCACTAGATAAGAAAAGAAAAAAGCCTCTTGAAGGGTTATGAATGAAAGTAAGATTTCATGTATCAAGTGACCAGGCTGTTTATGTGACACCCGGGGTTCAGATACCTATCACTATCTACTTAGCACCAGCAAGGGTGTCATTTACCTACAAAGTGGCCTGATTAGAATTACTGTGGTGCCTGGACTCTAAGCTGGGGCTTATACATGCTAGGCCTTGTGCTCTGTCAACTGTATCCTTGGTCAAAATTTATTTTCCATTTGACTCTTCTCTCCACATTCTCTCTGGACACCTTGTTATGTACATGACAGGAGTGTTACTTGATGCTTTGGGGTCTGATAAAGCTGCATTCTACCCACACTCTGCATCCCCGCACTGTATGCCCACCTACCTCACTGTAGTCCTGGACATCCTCTTTGAGCAGCTCCAGTTCCTCCTTCTCCTTGGTCAGGGACTTCTTCTGTTCCTTTAGCTTAGAACAGGCGTCACTGAGGATGTCAATTTCCTCCTTGGTTATTTCTTCTCCCTAGAAAGAAATGAATAAGAAGATAAACCTAAGTCAAGGGAACAATGGCTTCTGTCCCTAAATGTTGAAAGCCTTTCTGTTCATGCCACATAGGCAAGCACTTAAGGACAGCCTCAAGTGAGTTGGAGCTCATCTTTCTGCATCTTCTTGGTGCACTGTACCCTAACACACTCATCCCATAGCCAGCAGAATGAGCACACTGGTTATCCCCAAATGTTCCTTTCTATTCCCCAGGATTCCATTCCCATGCAAGACTGACTTGCTTCCTGCTCTACAGGACAGGCTTTGTTTTCTAGAACTTTATAGGAGAGGAAGTATTAGATCTGCCTCTTGACCAGCTCACCTACTTTGGCATCTAATGGTAAAGATTTTCTAATCTGGACAGCAACTCAAAGCATATTTTTCTCCTTCCTATTGGCCTTCAGTGATTACAATGACAGTTGCTGTGAATGTCTGTGTATAGCCACTGTGGGGCAATGCCCAGGACTAGGTCAGCTGATCACAGAGTATAAGTCTGAGGCTTTAGCAAACCATAGTTTCCAAAGTGATCTAGGCCCCCCACACCCTCTCCAACACTAGATGGAAAGTCAATTTTTTTTTTTCTGTTTTGCAGTATTGGGCACAGAACCTAGGACCCAGCATGCTATGCAAGTACTCTATTGAATCATATTCTCAGCCCTAATCAATAACCTGGCAAATGACACCAGGGTGGGCCTCTGCACAGGAAGCTCTGCTTTGAGGGCTCAGCCTTTATTTCCCTTCCCATTGTCCAACAAACAGGAGGACAGGAGCCTAGAAACCCATGAGGAGCCTGGCAGCCTCATCTCAGTGTCAAAGGCTCTAAGCTTCTCATAGCCCCAAGGCTGGTCTCTGCCTCCTTGCCACTACTTCATCTCTCCAGGGAGTAACAGTGTCCCTAGAGGGGCTCCATGGTTGTGGAGGTGAGACCCCCCCCCAAGAAATGAGTGAGTCAATGGGCTTTCCCAACAGCACATACCATGATCTCTGAGAGGGTCTGAAATGTGGACTGGCTGGAGGGTAAGAAAATGCCCTGCCCAGCAAGACCTCTTTAGGAGCTAAGGAACCCACAGTCCAGCCCTGCTCCTCCCCTGGTCATGTACAGCTCACCTTCAATCCCTCTAGCACAGGTGCTGTATCCTTCAGTGTCTCTGAGGACACACTCACAACAGGCACCTCTGGCTGAAGCTCGGCCCCTGGCCTCCCAGGAATGGTGGCTTCTACTACTTCTGGCTGGGTGTCCTTCTGAAATGTAAGCAGTAGCACAGTGTCACCTTGGTCCACACTCAGCATATACTCCTGACAGGTACACTTGGCATAATCTACTAAGTGACGAAGACCCACAGATCACCCAGCCGTGGTAGTTCCCTGCCCCAGGATGAGCAGGCCACCTGAACCTCCTCAACAGACTCAGCCAGAGCATGCTGCCCGTCTCTAGGGCTAGTCCAGGTGAACGGATGGACATGTGAATAACCTAGGCAATTCCAAGCTTCAGTCACAGCTTCCTGCAGCTTTTGAGACCATAGGGCCAAGGGATGAGCAAAGTTATAGGGAGTCAGCCACTCTTAGGAAAACAACCCTGAGAAGGTGGGTCCCTTGGTGACTCCTGCTTGGGTGCTAAGCCAGCCCCTCCTATGCCAATTGTGTCTTCTAGTACACTGTCCCTGAGAGCTATAGCTCCACAGTCAAGCACTCCTGTACTACTCTGACCCCTGCAGGCAAAGACAGGATAGGACTGAGAGTCACATGCGTGGCCATAAGGCAGGCTCTAGAAAACTTGGACAGGGACAGCCTTGGTCCTAGACAGTCAGTCACAGCAGACTGCTTACCACAGCCTCAGCAGCCCTCTGCAGTTCTTCCAGGTGCTCCTGCTGGATGGCAGCCTCTTCCTGCAGTGTGGCCTCCAGCTTCGCCTTGTTGTCTACCTGCTCGCCCTCCACCTCTGCCGCTTTCACCTGAGCCTCCTTTGCCTTAGAGGGAAAGTGGAAGGAGAAGGTAACTGCCAGTGAGCCTAAGGTGCCAGACCTATAATACCTTTACCTCGAGCTGAACAATGTTACCACCTACGCGTCATACAAAACAGAATACACTAGTGGGATTTTGCCTCCTAAGTGTTCAGAGGTGCTTCCAGGATCCCAAGGGTAAGTAGGGTTCTCCATCCATCAGAGAACTGTTTAAGTTTCAGAGCAAATCTCAAATACATCAATTCAGATTTGCCACCCTAGCACTGCTGTGCTTGAGACTGAGCCACAGGGGGGCTGAGCAGGGAGATGAACCAGGGAGCTGTGAAGAGGACAGCAAGACCAAGGTAGAGAGGCTCCCACAGCTGTGGAGGCCAGGATACCAAGCCCACAGAGATAATGAGTCAAGAGAATCTTCCGACAATACATACCACGATTTCTGGAAGGGTCTGCAAGGTGGACTTGAGCTGGTCAGCAGGTGAGAGGGTGTCTGGGAGGTACATGGCCCGGGACAGTATGAGCAATGATGTGGGGATCTCATGATGGAGGTGCAGGTCAAGCCACTGGAATCAAAGAACATGTGCTAGCAGTGCTGTCCTTGCTGACCCACAGCCCAGTGCCTCTCCTGCATCCCAGAGTTCCCTCTGTGGCTTTGACTTAGTTGAGGGACACAGTCTAGGTGGCACAGCAAACATGATTGAGCAAATAGGTTCATTAAGTCACTAAAACACATTTCCAAAATATATTTCAAAAATATCTTTCAGGGACTGGAAACAGCACTTGCTACTCCTGCAAAGGGTCTGGGTTCAGTTCCTAGCATTCACATGGCAGCTCACAACTGTTGGTACCTCGAGTTCCAGGGGATCTGACACCCCTTTCTGACTTCCATGGGACCTGCACACACAAGATGCACAAACATACATGCAACACCCATACACATAAAGATTAACATACACACTCACACACAAACACACACACACCTTAGTAAACTGAACAACTGACCATCAGCTCCAGGTACTTCAAGAATGGTCACTCTGCTCTGTGCTTGAAAACAGGTGGTGGATATCTGTAATCCCTGCACTAGCTGAGGTAGAGGATCACACGCACACATTCTATGACAGCCTGGGCTATACAACCCAACACTTAAAAAAAAAACGCCTAGGGTACCATACATATATATTACTTGTACCCATTACTATAGCAACTTTTATGTTTTTATTCATTTATTTTACATTTGTTTATTTGGGAGGGGGTGGCAGTACGTGCCACAGAGGCACATGAATAGAAGTTAGAGGGGCTGGAGAGATGGCTCAGTGGTTAAGAGCATTGCCTGCTCTTCCAAAGGTCCTGAGTTCAATTCCCAGCAACCACATGGTGGCTCACAACCATCTGTAATGAGGTCTGGTGCCCTCTTCTGGCCTGCAGATATACACACAGACAGAATATTGTATACATAATTAATAAATAAATAAATATTAAAAAAAAAAAAAGAAGTTAGAGAATGACTTTTGGGAGTCTTTCTTCTCTTGTACCACAAGGATCCTGGGAATCAAACTCAGGTTGTCAAACTTGGAGGCAAGCACATTTACTCACAGAGCTATCTTACTGGTCCATGTGTTTAGATATAAATTAAAAAAAAAATTAGGGGCTGGAGAGATGGCTCAGTGGTTAAGAGCACTGGCTGCTCTTCCAGAGGTCCTGAGTTCAATTCCCAGCAACCATATGGTGGCTCACAACCATCTATAATGAGATCTGGCGCCCTCTTCCGGCGTGTGGGCATACACAGAGGCAGAATGTTGTATACATAATTAATAAATAAATCTTTAAAAAAAAATTAGAAAGCAGAAGGATACCTAGAAATTCAGTCAGACTTGGTCATATAGTAGGAGACCTTGTCTAGAAAAATTGTCCTTTCTTTTTTAAAATTTGAAGGGCAGGCTGGGTGTGGTGATGAATTAATTACATCATTAATCCCAGCACTCAGGAGGCAGGGGCAGGCAGATCTCTAAGTCTGAGGCCATCATAGTCCACATAGCAAGTTCCAGGACACTGAGGGCTATACAGTGAGAACTGGTCTCACACAACAACAACAAAATTTAGAGGACAGGGGCTGTAGCTCAGTGGCAAAGAGTTTGTAGCATATGTGTAGCCTCTAGTTAAACCCACAACACTATGCTAAAAGCAAGCTGAAGGCTGACAAGATGGCTTAGCAGATAGAGACATCATCCCCCTCCCCCAACTCCCAAGACAGAGTTTCCCTGTGTAGGGTGGCTGCCCTGGAACTCACTCTGTAGAACAGGCTAGCCTCAAACTCACAGATCCATTCCCAGCACTTACACGGATGCTTACAACTGTCTGTAACTCTAGTTCCAGAGCATCCAACACCTTCTCTTAACAGCCAAAGGTCACCAGGCATGCAGGTGGTACATATATAGACATGTAAGCAAAATACTCATACACATAAAAATAAATAATCTTTAAAAAAAAAAAAGGAAGAAGAAGAAGAGCTAAGATTAAGTGAAAAAGGAGAGCAGCTGCAGAAGAAAGGCAGAGGTCAAATGACTATGACCTTGGATTTCACAGTTCACCAAGGTGCACAGCCTTTAGGTCTGTGCTGGAAACCTAAGTGATGAAGAAGCCCTTGGAAGACAAATTAGAAAGGATTGCAAGGGCCAGGCAGTGGTGGAGTCCACCCTCAATCTCAGCATTCCTGTGGCAGAGGCAGGTGGATCTCTGTGTGTTCAAGGTCAGCCTGATCTACAGATCTAGTTCCAGGACAGCTAGGGTTGTTACAGAGAAACCCTGTTTTGAAAAACCAACCAAACCAAACCAAAAACCAGCAAAAAAAGGGTTGCAGAAACATGTTTAGTGGGAAAGTAGGCATTCACACATATTTGGTCACATGTGAGAGTACATGGAAAGTGGCAAGAGGGACAGGTGTGAAGTTGAGTTAGGAGGAAGACCAGACTCATCTCTCCAAAGACGAGGGGCTATAGATGTCACTCACTGCCACAAACCTGCACAGGGACTATTGCCTTAGGACCCTCACGCTCAGGTAGGGTGCAGTGCCACATACCAAGCACCCACTTGGAGAAGCCCAGGCTTAGCGTAGCTGAGAGGGTGGATGCGATGGTAGTCAAGTCGTGAGGGTGGTCTGATTCGATTTTTAGTTGAAGATGGTCTTAAATTTCTAATTGTTGCATCTACATCTTGAGTGCCAGGATTACAGATGTGAACAGTCATGTCAGGTGGCACTAGAGATCCATCCTGTGCAAGCTAGGCTAGTCTCTCAACTGACCTATAGCCCTAGACCTCTTTCCTTCTGTTTGTTCTGAGATAGGGTCTTCCACAATAGCCCAGGATGACCTCAAACTTAGTGATCCTTCTGACTCAGCACGTTTCACCATGCTCAGGTTTGTGTGTACTTCCATGCGGTGTTAAGGATTGAATTCTGGGCCTGGTATGCATACCCCTTGTGCCAATCTAAGAACTTTTCCAGTTTGAACGAACACACACACACACACACACACACACACACACACACACACACACACGAGCATACACCTGTGCTGGTCTGGAAGAAAGGTAGATAATTCCTAACAGAGGAGAAAGCTACTAACCTGCTCTGACTAGTCACTGAGGTCACATACCTGATTCAGTTGGTCCTTCAGACGGTCTTCTGTGACACCAAGTGCTCGCATGCCTCGTGCTCGACATGCTGCCTGCAATTCCTTGACATTCAGACTGTTCACTCCTTCCTCAGAAATCAACTGGAAAAGAAAGCCAAGTATTGCTTTTCAGGATCATCTGGATCTGAGACACTGATGTTAACACAACTGAGGTTGGAGAAATGGCTCATCAGTTAGAAGCACGTGCTGCTCTTGCAGAGGACCTGGATGTGGTTCCCAGTAGCCACATGCTGGCTCACAGCCATCTCTAACTATAGTTCCAGGTAACCCAATGTCCTCTTCTGACCTCCATTAGAACCAGGCACTAATGTGATACACATGTAGGCAAAACACTAATACACATACAATTTTAAAAGTTAAAAAAAGGTGGGGTAGTGGTGGTGCACACCTTTAATTGGGAGGCAGAGGCAGGTATATCTCTGAGTTCGAGGCCAGCCTGGTCTAAAAAGGAAAGCTCTCTATCCCTACTCTGCAGCAAGGTTCCATGTGACTCTGTTGCTACAAGTGACATAGGTGTCTCTCCACACTGCTACCTGGTCCCACCACAAGTTAAGTGTTGTGGGATATTATTACACAATGTGAAGATATATTGCTGTGATTGGTGTAATAAAACGCTGAAGGGCCAATAGCTAGGCAGGAAGTATAGGTGGAATTTCCAGGGAGAAAAAGGAAGAGAGGAGGAATCTAGGTGCACAAGACAAGACAGGAGACATGGAGAGGAAACAGGAGGGACAAGATGGAAGAGAGGTATTGCCATGTGGTGGAATATAGATTAAAATACATGGGTTAATTTAAATAATAAGAGCCAGTTAGTTAGGAACAAGTCTAAACTATAGTCCGAGCTTTCATAATTAATAAGAAGTCTCTGTGTTACGATTTGGGAGCTAGCTGGCTGGACAGAGAAAGACTCGTTACAGTTAAGGAGCAACTTTAGAACAAGTGAGGGCATGGGCTCCCATTGCACTGGCTGACTCTCTAAGGTAAACACCCCCTTCTCCACTTCTGCAGATACCCTGGCTGCCAGGGCAGAAGTCCCTCATTACTGCCTCCCACCAAGCCCCCACTGACACCACAGGACCTGGTCTCGTGACTGTGGACAGGTGTCGAAGTCCTGACTCCACATGACAGTGAGGGGAAGAGGGGAACCACGGGTCTCCACTTGACAGTGAGGGGTAGAGGGGAAACCATGGGCCTCCACTTGCCCCTAATGGCACCTTGACAGAGAGGAGGTAACTGTTACTGCCTGCTGAGGATAAAAAGTCAGCTCCTTGCTAGCTCTCTCCTTGCTAGCTCCCTGACACTTTCCCAGCCCAAGGCCCCCTGGGCTTGCGCCCTTCCTGAAAGACTCTCAGTTAATACAGTCAGTGCCTGTAGTTCAGAAAAAAATGATATAGCAAACAGACAAAAAGCAAGAAGGACAACAAAGGCAAAAGACGCACAGAATCCCCAGTCCTACAATATTGGATATGAACTTTATAACTAGTATATTTGGGAAAGAAAAACAAGGGTATGTACATGCCTTTAATTTCAGCACCTGAGAGGCAAAGGCAGAGGCAGTGAGTTCAAGGCCAGCCTAGTGCACAGAGCAAATTCCAAGACAGCCAGAGCTAAGTAGAGAGCCCTTGACTGCCTCAAAATAAATGAATAAAAAGAAAGAGACAGGGAGGAAGGAAGGGGAGGGAAGAGAAGAGAAATTAGGAAGGCAGAGAGAGGCAAGTCAGACTTGGTAATTCCATGATTTGGGAGGCAGAGGCAGGAAGATTCAAAGTTCAAGGTTAGCTTGATAACTGAGACCCAGTCTGTTCAAATTAAAAAGCAAAGAAAGAGTACTAAGGCTAGGTGTGGTGAGACAGGACTACAATCCCTACAGTGGGGGGGGACAAGAAAATTAAGAGTTGACTGAAGGCCAGGGAAGCAAAATGGCGCTTCCCATTAAGCTTGATAACCTGAGTTTGATCCCTGGGACCAATATTATAGATTAAAAGAAGTGACTCACGCAAGTATATCTGACTCCACACATGTAATGTGTGATGCCCAATGCTTGCACACACACACAGACACACTAAGTAAATAAATGTTAAAAAAAATTGTCTTTAAGGTTCAATTCCCAGTATCCACATGTCAGCTCATACCTGTCTGTAACTCTAGTTCCAGGGGATCCAACACACTCACACAGACCTTCATGTGGGCAAGCACCAATGGACATAAAATAAAAATAAATAAATCATAATAAATAAAAAAGAGTTAAATTCTAATCTTTTTTTTTGTTTTTGTTTTTGTTTTTGGAGACGGGTTTTTCTGTAGCTTTGAAGTCTGCCTTGAAACTCGCTCTATAGAACAGGCTGACCTCAAACGCACAGAGATCTACCTGTCTGCCTCCCGAGTGCTGGAATTAAAGGCATGTGCACAACCACTGCCTGGCTAAATTCTAATCGTGGTTACATAGTGAGTTGGTGGCTAGGCTGGGTTATATGACACCCAGCCTTGGAAGACAGAGGCTGGGCACTGCCTAAAGCAAGCTAGCTAGGAAACTAGCTATAGTGTTAAGTTTTGGGTTTGACTGAGTAAGATGGAAGAACAATTGAGGACGATCCCAACATCATCCTTGGGCTTACACATACACATGAACTCACTCATGTAGACGCCAGCGTGTACGCGCACACACGTGTGCGCATGCACACACACCACAAATGAGCAATACATACCCACGTAAATACTACATATGCATGAAAAATGGAAAAAGAAAACAGAGCAAGGCTGGAGAGTCTCAACAGATAAGAGTACTAGCTGTTCTTCCTTCATGCAAGGGTTCAATTCCCGTCACCTATATGGTTAGTCATTCTCAACCATCTATTGCTCTAGTTTCAGGATCTCATGCCCTCTTCTGAACTCTCAGGGTGCCAGGCACACACATGGTACACATAGATACATGCAGTTAAAACATTCATACAGAAATAAATCTAAAGGAATTAGGGAAAAGAAAAGAGGGTTAAAGGAACAGCCCAGGAGTCAGAGTGCTTATGTAGCACTGTGAGGCTCTGGGTTCAATACCCAGAACTGTTCTTCCCAAGCAAAAAGAAACAAATAAACAAAACAACAACAACAAACAAACCAGGTGTGGTGGTTTATGTTTGTAATTCCAGCACTCAGTAGCCTGGGGCAGGAGGATCGCCACAAAAGCGAAGCTAGCCTGGGCCATTTAGTGAGTTCTAGGCCAGCCTGAACTATGTGAGAACAATAATGACGAGAAAAGCGAGAAGACAGAGCCCTGAGGAGAGAAAAGGGAATCTGTGCAAAATACAGAGATGAGAGGGCGCCTCACAGTGGCCAGAACAGGACTCTGCACCAGCTGTGACTTTCACCGCAACTCACTTTGTCATCAGCCTTTATGGACCTCAGGCGCATGGTGAGCTGGAAACGCAGGAAGTTGTTGGTGCCGATGGACTGAAGCTCCAGCAGCTTGCACAGTGCCACCAGCTGAGGCCTTGTGAGGTTATCCAGGGTCAGTTCATCCTCAAATAATTTGGAAAAACGCATGATTTCCTCATTGCTGGGTCTTTCTCCTGTCTCACGGATCTGCAGAAGTAATCCCAAGTATTAATCATTAAGTACAAACTATGCATTCTCCTGTTCCCAGAGTTAGCTTTGGGTTCCAGCTGGAAGTAAGGAACCGAGAGAGCAGATGCAGAGGGCCAGACCACCTACCTGTCACCAAGCTCTCCAGGGGTGGTCATACCTCAGGCACTCTAAGCCTGCAGGAGGCACTAGATACACAGCACCTACTCGTGCATCACCATCCAGGCTGCTGTCCACCAGGAGACTGGGAATGCCAGTGTGCAGTCAGTTCTGCTGTACTCTTTCCATCAGGGTTGTGGGCACTGCCCTGGGCTCTCATGCCACACCCCAGTTTCTCAGTGGCAGGAAGAGGTGCATTTGTATACACTATAGCTCCCTTGAGAGGGACTGAGCACAGGGAGCAGGCAGTTAGCTTAAGCTCTGTCCTTAGAGCTTTATCTGCTGAGTATACAATTTAAAAGAAAAGAGAGAGAGAGAGAGAAAGAAAGAGAAGTAAAGGAAGGAAGAGGGAAGAAAAGGCCTAGTAGTGCTTGACATTTGAATCATCGTGTGACAGATGCGAATACTACACCTTCTGGAAAAATGCAGAGAAGTCTTTGGTGGCATTCCCCTTGGCTGCCTTGTTCTTCAGGGCCATTTCCTCTATGGTGTCCTGGAGAAACTTGGCTAGCTCTAGCTTTACCCGAAGCTCTTTCTTCAGCCTTTCCTCCTATGAGAGAAAATTAAAGGTTATATAGCCCAGCCATGCCCTGCACCCTCTTGCATTCCACCATGACCTGTCTCTACAGTAGGAAGTAGTCTTGAAGCCTGCTTAGAATGCTGCCTACTGTAAGACAAGTCGCCCACAACCTATATCCTTCAAGGGACAAAATCTAAGTGTGACATATTCTTAAACTCTACTTCATCGTTTTTAAAAAATGTCTCTGTGAAGCCTCAATCCTACCTCACAGCAGACGTTGGTATATGTGTTTCATGAGGGACCAGACAGTGAGGTTTTGGGGCCTCATTTGGTCTGACATAATCACTTAGCTCAGCTGGTGCATCACAAAAGAACCAGACAACACATGTAACAGTGTGTGGTCTGAAGGAATTTTAGACTCATTTTCTTTCTATTTTTTTTTTTTGGGTGTGTGTTTGTATGTTTAACGTATGTGTATGTATATTGACTTATGTGAGTGCGGACATTGTGTGTGGAGATCAGGAGACACCTTGGGTATTGGTCCTCACCACCACCTTGTTTGAGACAGGGTCTCTTTTTTGTGTTTTGCCCCTAGCTGACAATGATCTTTCAGGAATTATCCTATCTCTACCTTCCATTTCACCATAGGAGACCTGAGATTACAGATGCACTACCCAGCTTGGTTTTTACATGCTTCCAGGGATTTAAATTCAAGACCTTGTGTTTTCATGCAAATATTTCTTTACCGATTTAGCTGTCACCCTAATCCTTAGACTAATTTTCAAACTGCATTCAAAGTCCCAGTGGCCTCACCTTGATGGACTGGGTTTCAAATGTGGATGGCAGCATGTTGGGGAAGAGCTTTACAACTACAGGCAGCAGGAATTCCATGAAGGGCACGATCACGAACACCAGGAAGGGCACTAGGCGGAAGAGGTCTGCACAAATCCGGAGAAACTGCAAAGATGTGGAAACATCAGTGGGCAGAGCAGGGCAGGAACATCTCTCTTACCATTACTACAACTCACCACAGTGTGACTCAGACTCTTGGCAGATAACCTCCAGAAACCCACCTCTTTCTCACAGTCTAAACATGCTAATGGCCTTAAGAAAAACAGGACTGGGTGCTAACCCACAGCTCACCAGATGCACAGAATGTGAGACCGGCCCAAAGGAGGGCCATTTAGATAAGATAGCAATCTACGAAAGCTATCCCAGAACACCCCCTGCAAGTAGAGGAACCTGTGAAGTCCTTCAAATGAGTTTAAAATTTTCCACAGCAGAGCCTACTACAGGCCACAGTCTGACCAACTCCTTAGATGCCCTAAAGGCATGTTTCTCACAAAGTACTTGCTTGTTTTTAAAGGTCCCAATCTCTCTCTCTTTTTCTTGTTGTTGTGCACGAATGCTTTGCTTGCATGTATGTCTATGTATCATTATGCATGTCTGGTATACAAAGAGGTCAAATGAGAGTGTCTAAAGTCTTGGTGACTAGAGTTAGAGACGGTTGTGAGCCACCATACTGGTGCTGGACCCAGATCCTCTTCAAGAGCAATAAGCATTCTAAACTACTGAGTCATCTCTCCAGCCCCATGGTTCCAATTTCTTTAACAACTGCACTATCCTTAGCTCCAACTTTTGACTGGCTTTTCTGGCCCAACTGTAAGTTTTTCAAGTCTTTCCACTCAGCTTTTGCTCCTGATCCCCACTATAAACCTAGGTAAAAACAATTATTTCATTATATGTGTGTAAGCACATGTGTGTACCTATCATGTATGTGCGAGGGTAAATGTGTGCCATAGTACACACGTGGAAGAGAAAGAACAACTTGGTGCAGCCATTTCTCTCCCTGTACCCTTACATGCTTCGGGAACTAAACTCAGATGGTCAGGCTTGGGTGAAAAGATCTTGTCTTGAAATTTCCTCTGCCAGATTAATCTGTCATCTTTAAACTCAAACTCCACAAAGTCCCTTTTGTCGTGTCCCCCCCCCCTCCCGTCCCCCCAGAGACAGGGTTTCTCTGTGTAGCCCTGGCTGTCCTGGAAATCACTTTGTAGACCAGACTGGCCTCGAACTCACAGAGAACCTCCTGCCTCTGCCTCCCGAGTGCTGAGATTAAAGGTGTGCACCACTATCACCTGGCATCTCCCATATAAGCGCAGCAAGTGCTTTAATGACTGAGCCATCTCTCCAGCCCCAGGAAGGGCCTTCTCAGAGCTTAAGGACAGAAGGAATTACATACCAGGCTCACAGAGTCAAAGAAATAACTGAGAGACTTCCCCGAGGGACATAGTGTCTATGAAGTAGAAACAGACCCAGATCAAGGGCAAGGCTGAAGGAAATCACCAAGGGAGGAAAGAATGTGTCAGTATTCACATTACAGTTCACTAGGAGGATGAGAAAGGTTCATTGTTTATAAACCTTTACTGACTTTTATCAAAAGGAGCAGAATAAGCTGAGTAGAAAGGAGAGCAAGACAGCGTGTCCCATCCATACCTGCCTGCGCTCCCGGCGGGTCAGCGTGTGGCCATTGAGGATGCGCCACAGCATGCGGGCAGCTATCTTGGTGTCGATCCAGAGCAGGCGAAAGCCATGGTAGTAGTGCTTCAGCTCATCCAGTATCTTCTGCCCAAGGGACTTCTTTACTACCACTTGAACTGGCGGGCTGTACACAGGGCCACCCTCTTCCAGCTTCTTATTCTTGTCCTTTAAGGACTTAAGGGACTTCTCTATCACAGAGTCCTCTCCTAGGGGAGGTGATGAGTGCCAGCTGCGCACAGGAAGGTACTGAGGGCCTGTGACAACCAATCTTGCAGAGGCAGGTGTCCATGTTGCCCTTGCAATGGTGCCCTGGCACTCAAGCCTCTGAGTCCATCGGCTGCGGGGCTCACCTTTGAAGCAGAGGTACACAGGGTTGACTGGAGGACAGCAGCGAGATAGAATTTTCCTTGAAATGGGAACAACAGAAAAACCGCAATGAGAAATCCTACCTATCTGACCACTCAGTACCAAATACTAAATCATACTCCATGGTGGATCAAATTATGTATCCCACTTCTTTGAAGGAAGCCTTTAGAAGGGCTTGCATTTGAGGCTAGGATGGTGTGTGGCCTAGCTAGACCTCACACATGAGTGTGAGCCTTACTGGCCTAACTCTAAGTCCTCAAAGACACACAACAGTAGGAGGCATGCATACATAGGAGGGTCCCTGGCACCTGACGTAGGAAGTGATATTCATAACTTTGGAATTTGAGGGTATGGGGTCCAGAGTCAAGAGTCCATCCAGTTTAGATATTCTCTCTCAACAGGTGGCTCTTGGTTGACAGAAGGCACTGGAACAAAGAGAAAACCCCAAAGGAGAGTCCAGGGTCCATTCCCTTACCTGGCTCTAGCATGACTCCCCCACCTCTGTCCTCTCTTTCCCCCTTAGTGTACTCTGATGCATGCAGCTACCAAACGCCTGCCACGGAGAGATAAGAGGCACATGTGTCCTCAGGGCCTATGCCTCTTCACCAGAGTGAAGGCTCCGTAGGAGCCCTAAAACAGGTGAGGCCACAGCCAGAGGCTGTTTCCAAAAACCTTAAGACTTCTTCGTCCACACAGGATCAAGCTCACAGGACAGCCTGGAACCCAGTTACTCATTCACAAAGTGACCACAAAGACCAACTGCAGTGGAGATCAGGCCTAACGGGCAGCCCGGGGTTTGTATCAACAAGACCTTTTCTGACTCCATCTGGAGCCAGAGTCAGTGCTGAGATTGCCATCTGCTCATGAAGCAGCTGAGCCTGGTCAGGTTTAAACCGTACATTAGAAACCTCTCCCCACCAGTCGTTTACAAGCCAACCTCTAGGTGGCCACCAACTCTAAAATCACTCCAGAGGCCTGTCGTGGAGCAGACGTCGGAGCTCAACATCTGCAGCTCTGGGCTGATGAAATGGCTCAGGGGATAAAGCTGCCTGCTGCCAAGCCTGATGACTTGACTTAGATCCCTGGGACCCACACTGGTAATGAAAGAGCAACTCCTGCAATTAAATTGTCCTGACTTCTATCCTGGTGCCATTGCATGAACTCCTGCCCCTACACATAATAAATTAAAATTAAAATAGAAGTTTAAAAAAGCCTGTGTAGCCGGGCAGCAGTGGTACATGTCTTTAATCCCAGTACTTGAGAAGAAGTAAAATCCAGATCTCTGAGTTTGAGGCCACCGTGAGCTACAGAGTAAGATAGTGAGTCAGTATTTGTTAGTCAGTACTACATATAAGACCCTGTCTCAAGTACCAGTACTACACACACACACACACACACACACACACACACACACACCACACACACACGCACACACACAAATGCTGGTCCACTTGCTGCATTTGCAATGACCTCATAACTTGACCTCTCTGTGCTTATGACTCCAGAGCCACAATGCTTCATAGGTACACTAGTGGTACACACGGCCTTGGCTCACAGTGCGTAACGTACAGTGATAGCTGGGACAGAGTATGATCAGCCCACACAGAATCAGGGCATGAGACTCAATGGGCTCCAAGGCTCTAGCTGCTAGGCTCAGCTCTGGTGCTATCACTGGCTACGCCATTCTCCAAACTCCAAATCTGTCCTCTGTCACAGCCTACAATGACTTGAAAGCAAGCAGTGATATCAGAGAAGAGTGGTATGGACATCCGTGGATCAGTGAAAACAGTGACACAGTGTGTCTGTGAGCATGTATGGCAGCCCCCCACCCCCGCTTTATCTATCTCCTTAGGGCTCTGGTAAAGTACTGTCACTCTCTTCCCAAGCCACACCTAGTTCCACACCTCTAGCTTTCCTTGGAGCTATGAAGAGGCCCTTGAATCCACTCTGTCCTGAACCATAGTGTTACATCACTCAGGGTGAGGCTACAAGGAACAAGACAGCACAGCCAGATTCAGAGTACCACTCAGCTTACCAACAGAGAGAAGGAGGCCCTTCCTTCCTACCTCCTTACCTTGGCCTCCCCTTTCCCCCTCAAGTACAGAAAAAGACAGTTCTGCACAGGAAACAAGTGCATCATCAGGCTTTTTAAATATCAATCTCCCATCCTCACTGAGGATGCCTGCAGGTGCAAGGGCAGCCAATGGGTCAAGATAAAGACACACTACAAAGATGAAGCGGGCAGCACAGTGTTCTGGCTAAGGGCTGGGTCAAGATCTTGCTCTTCTTAAACTTATCAGAGAGTTTGTTGTTGTTGTTGGGGGAAGACTGGGTATAAGAGCCTCATAGGTCAGAGGACAATTTGTAGGAGTCCATTCTTTCCTTCCACCATGTGGATCTTGGGGATCAAACTTAGGCTTGGTGTCAGAGACCTTTACCCACTGAGCCATTATCACTGGCCTATCAGAGAAGTTACTAACCATTGTTACTAACAACTTACACATAATGTTTTGCCATTTTTAAGCAGTGGAAAAATCACTTTTTTTGTTGTTGTTGTTGTTGTTGGCAGTGCTAAGAATAAGACCCAGGGCCTCCCACATGTTAGACCAAGTGCTGACTACTGAGCTACAACCCAGCCCAAATTATATAACATTCTTAAATTTTCCACCAATACAGAACTCATCTTGGTGCTGCTGGTGCTCACTGGCGCTAACCAAAGGGCTAGATTATGGGCCTAGCTTCCACCACCCTATCTCCTGACTTCCTCTTGTTTTGGTCTTTCCTCTTCTGAAAAATAACCTACCAAACGAAGTGAAATAGCACCAACCAAACACAGTATTTCAACAAGAAATACACTGGAGCTGGCAAGATGGCTCAGTGGGTAAAGGTGCTAGCCATCAAATCTCACAATCTTATTTCAATCCCTGGGATCCACATGGTAAGAGAGAACTGACTTCCAAAGTTTGTTTTCTGATCTCCACATGCGTACCATAGCACAGGTTCACCTTACATGCATACCCCAAACAAACAAATAGCCAATACGCCCCCCCCCACTGCACCCACCTACCTCCATAATGAAGCCAGGGATCTTAGCAAGGGTGATCACTTACTTAAGTATGCTCTGCCCAGCCTGAATGTCCAGGCTTCAAGTAAGGAGCAGAAAGACTAAGTAGCACTCTACAAAAGAGAAGTGTCTGAGCCTTAGCACACGAGCTACATATTCTGAGCTATCTGGAAGGCAGGAACAGGAATGGGACACACAGACTGACATAAGTCACACATACACAGATGCGGACGACAGATATCCCCCCTGCTGTCAGTGTTTATAACTTTCATCAACATCACACAAATGTCAAAAGTATGCCTGTAGGCCACTCCCTAGAGGACAACTCCCTTGGTGCACCCCAGAGCCTCCAACCACAGGCTGCTCCTAGAAAGGCATGAAGTAAGCCAGTAGCCAAAGGAGAGGCCTTGTCAGGAAGGACACCAGCCACGATAAGTCACTCTGTTCTTCAGGGAAGTGATGTCAAGGAACCAAGTCATCCTCAGCAGAAAGGAAGAACAGCAGACCAATAGCCTCCAAAATCAAGAGATGATTCCAGAAGTGCAGACAACTCTCCACTTAGAGGCCTGTGGATACACCACATTAGACCACACCTGCTTCCTGGTTTAGCAACTAGATGATACAGGGGGGGGGGGGGGGG